TTCCTTATTAAACCGTTTGAAAACATCGCCTATCAGAATAACATGTAGTAAGCAGCTGCAATCTTTTTACCGGAACTAGAGTAGGTGCCGAACTCGAGTTTGTTATTGCTTACATTCCTATTGAAAACACCATCCATTATGAATGGTAACGGAGATATTTTTTATAATTGCTCCAAAGAGCAAAAATCTTAGTTATTATGAATGGTAACAATTCCAAGATTAAGAAATGTCAGTAGACGCTACAGAACAGGTCTTTCCCGAACTCCGGTATTAGGCAGTAACTGCTAAAAAAAGTATACGGAGCATAGCACCCAATCTGTCTCGTCAGCTATGTGCAGCCATGGGTGCTACAATTTCAAGGCAAACCGTGTACATACATTTGGAGAATATTCATCTATATACTTGCAAGCCTGACAAAATTGTTCTGCTCACGAAAACTCACTGTCCCCAGTAGTTCTCCTAGAGTAGAGAACATGCAATGTGTACATGGTCATAGTAGGCTTGTGCGTTATTTTCGAACAAGTGCAGGTTTAGCTTACAGTCTGATCCACGTCGAACTTTCATACGGAGAAAGCCAAATACCCGTTACCAACGCGACAGCATTATAGAATGACATTGTTACGGTGATAGAGGATTGCTCGTTTGAGGGGGGATATACTGGGCTGCAGAATAGATCTTCATGTTCAAATCAGAAACATGATAGACCAAATTTATCAGAGCATTATTCTGGAACAACGAGTACGTTTATTTAGGTTTATACGTTTGTTGTTGTGTCATAACCCGCATAGAGCGACCAGCATTCTCACCTGACTTGAATCCGATAAAGCATTAGTGGCACATATATTTTGATGAGTAGCAGCCCGTCATCCTCCTCTTACATGTTTATCGAGTCTTAGAGCTTTACTTGCTGAGTGGAGTTATTTTCCTCAAAATCATCTCGATAAATTGATACTCAACGTGCCTAGACGTTGTACAGGCTATATTTTATTGCATGGGAGGCATACAATGTATACCATTCATGTAATATTAAGTTTTTGCAAAGGAAGTATTTTTAATAATAGCTCAAGGGAGCAAAAATCGTAGGTTATTATGAATGGTATAGTACATGCATCATATTTTTTTTGTTCCTCATCTTTTGTTTTATAAATTAGGATTTATTAATAAATCATGCTTGTTGTGTTAGTAAAATTTGTTTGCCAAAGCTGGCATTATCCTTAATTTATGGACATAGAGTGTAATTCAAAACTTGTTTATCTTATAGTCAAACACTTTCAGCTAAAATATAAATAATAATTTTTTTTTAAAATTCAAATTGTTTAAAATTGAAGATAAACTTTTTAAAAGGTTTTGAGTTTAATTTTTAAAATGAACACATCAAATAGTTCTAAACAGTTTATTATTGTTGAAAAAACTGCAAAAGAATGTAGTTATTTTTGTTTACAAACAAAAAGTTTTAAAAATGTGTTCAGACAAATAAGAAATATAAGAAAATAAGAGAATTCGCGATCGCAACGCTCGAGTACGCTCTCTAGCGGGAGCCTGAAAATATCAGGTATCAATTTATTAAGTTTTCATTTAGTTCCATCAAAATCATTGGCAGAATCAGACGCTATTTTCTTAGCAGCAAATAAGAAGCAAAATTTCCCTGAGGAAAAGGAGAACTTGAAAAAACTCTCCAGAATATTGGTAAATCTTTCAGAAACAGAACATGCCAAGCATTTGAAGAAAAATTCCTCAATATTCCTCAATATATCCTTCTCTTATCAACAAACTTGCAATTGTTAACTTCTGATTTCGGGATTGCATACTGTTACAGATGTATGTATTACGGTAAAATACATTTCTTCTGTCTTCAATTCATTTCAAATTAAAGTGAAGTCAACATTGCTTTCTTCATTCCAAAATGTGAATTCAGAACGTACAGAACTGTAATAGTTATAGAATATTCTTCTTCTTTATATAATAGTATATATTTCTGTATCTATATATAATTCAGAAAACAACAATAAAGAAACATCTGTATTACTTGAAATAGTATCATTTGTGCTGATTATTAATACATTTTTATCGTTTTCTTGGTAAGTGTTTTTTTAGTTTTGAAAGAATAATTTCAACTGGAATTCAGCTATTCTGTTTTTAAGCTACATATTAGAATTCGTATCGAGATCTTACAATTATAAAATTTTGCTGTGTGGTATGTTATCGAAAAGTAATGAAGGGATAAACTATGTATATATATTATTTGAGAATAAAGTTTTCAAACAAAGAACGTGTCACTTTGGAATTCTCCGGATTTATAAATTAGTTAAGAGTTATGATTTTTATAATAAAAAATTTGCTTGTAAAATTTTTTTTTCTTATTTGATGATAGTTCTCTACAGAATGGTTTTTTATATCTGTTTCAGAACTATAAGAATAAAAAAAAGAAACAATATGGAAGTTTTTTATTTCAATATGAGAAATTTCCAAAATCGTTTTTTTATCCTAAGAATTCTTTATTTTACGTTTTTTAGTTTATAATTTTTGGACTAAAATTGTTGTTAAAATAATTTTTTTCAAAAATAAAATGGTATAACATTATGTGTTTATGTACTCGTATACTTCTTGCATATTCTAATGTTTGAAGCAATATGATTCAGAAAAGTATGGAATAAAAATTCGGTACTTACGTATTAACGCCACCGCAACTACAGATTTGGCGGTTTTTAAGTACCGCCAATCTACATCTAAAATTTTTGTGACAAATCATAAAATAAAACAATTTATCTAAAATCAAAACACTTTCAAAATTCAAAACACTTTATTTAAAATCAAAGTAGTTAAGCGGATTTCGATAGAAAATGGGCCGATATAAAGTTTAACATAGATTCGAAACAATCTCTATATTCTTTCACCTGATGCTGTCGCTATATGAACTCTAATAAATAAGATTCCAAATGAAATTACATTTCCAAAACGTACGTTTAGCATAATAAAGTTTCATGTCATAAGAATTGGTAAATTTTCGTTTTTTTTTTCGTAAAATATTTTGCTCCAGAAAAAATAAAATTTCATCTTGTTCTATTTTTGGCAAATCCCGAAGACGCATTTTCGTAGCACTAAAAAAAGGTGTAAAAAATCGAAGAACATATCATTTTGGAATTCTCGGGATTTATAAAGCAGGTAAGTGTTATAATTTATTAAATAAAAAATTTTACTTGTAAATTTTTTTTTTCTTATTTGATGATAGTTTTCTATCGAATAGTTTTCTACGTCGGATTATGAATTAAAATAAATGTTATGTAAGAAATTTTCAGAATTGTTTTTTTTTCTCGTAAGCATTCTTTATTTTACGTTTTTTTGTTTCTAAATAATGATTTTTATAAAAACTTAAAATTTTTTGATAAAAATTGTTGCCAAAAAACTTTTTTTACGAAATTAAATTACATAAAATTATGAGGCTTATGTATACTTTTTGCTTATTTTAATGTTTGAAGTAATATGATTGATTCTTAAAACTATGGAATGTAAAGTTTAAAACAATCATGTTAGATCATTAAATTTAGTAAAACTATTTCTCAGGCATTATGTTTTAACTCTAATAAGAAGATACATATCTTTTTCTGTTTATTTAAAAATATTTTTCCGATGTGTTTTGGATGTTCCATCTCCAAAAAAAAAAAAAAAAAAAAAAAAANAAAAAAAAAGAGATACCATTTTGTTTTTGTTTGCATAAGAAAGAATATCAAAAATTTTTCTTTTTTAAATTTAATAAGCCACAATAAAGAAGGAACGTTACAATGCTACACGCTACATTAATGAAGTCTCCAGCGTAACTGAGTGACTGTTCATATAGAAATCGCAGGTATTCGTCTCATACAACAACGCCCCCTATAGTTTGCTGCAATCGCGAATAATAAATGGCCAGCGTTAAGTCGAACTTCAGTTGCAGATATTCAAACGATATTTGAGTTATTTTTACCCAAGCATGATTTGGTCAGTGGTAACAAACTAGTTTGTTGAGCTATAAGCTTGAATTTTTATCGTTTTATTTTAAAAATAAAACGATATGAATTTTAGGTTGCTATGGCGATATGATGGAACAAATTGACTAAATAAAATTGTTATGCTCTCGCTTCAACTAAACGTTTATGTTTAATTTTTTGCTTGCGATTATCTCTTTTCAATTTTTTTGAATAAAGAAGAATTAAAAGATTATATTATTAGAAGTCTATTAGTAATCTTATTAGAATTTCTGAAGAGGATGCTATTTTACTTTTTGGTAAGTAAATATATTTTGTTCTTATTTTTAAAATACTATTACTTACAATATGCTATATATACTTTTCATTTAAATTGGCTTTTTTTCAGCATTTTTAAATAAAATATTAGACATTTAAATTCTTTTTCAAGAGGAATTTATTAAAATTGAACGCGTTAAATATGGATGCTTATGGAAGATTAAAAAATCTGATTCCGAGTTAGAATCTTTGTTGAAGTATGTAGTGATATATTTAGATCTGTAAACTTTTCTAGAATTTTTTTTGACCTCATATTAAAGTTTTAACTTTCTATTTTAATATAATGGATCACTGTTCCAATATTTTTGGGTGTATTAACGTATTTTGGTACAAGATGTTTCTGAATAATTAATTTCATATCATTCAATAATTTTTTTCATAAAAACTATTTCCGAAGTAGTTTATTATTTATACAGTCTACAGTTGGTGTAATTTATATTTTTATCTATAAATGAAGTTGACTGTCCTTAATTTATGAAAAGTTTATATTTGCAAGATTCATCCATTTAAATCAGCAATGCAGATGCTTTTACATAAATTTTATTATAATATTATTTTAAAGAAAGGTGGAAAATGTACCTAAAAAAAAGCTAAATAGTATACATATTTTTTATTGCTTATAATATTTAATGCCGGACTAAATGACAAAATAATTAAGTATGGATCTATAATTACATCCGAATTTTCACAAAGTTGTGGATTTGATACAATCTACCATAATACTGCTTGACTCTCAATTCTCTTACAAAGATTTTTTTATTTATTTTTCATTTTAACGCAACATTTAAAGCAAAATTATTATTTTATTTCTTTTTATTTTCAAACAATTATTACTAGTGGTTAATCTGTGCTTTTGCTTAGTTGAAAATTGCAAATTAAGGAATGCATTTAAATTTTGATACATTTATGATTTTAAATGTATATATAACAATTCTACAAAAATGAGGTCTGTTTTTAGTGGTAGTCTATTCAATTTCACTTCCTATCAGATTTTTAGTTGTAATTCATGTTAATTAGAGCTATTTTAAATACGATACTGAAAGCTGCTGTGAATCAGGGGATAGAGCTGTCGCGTCCCAATGAGGTGATCCAGGTTTGATACGAATTCTGCTCCCAGCTCACACCGATCACAATGCTGATAAAATATATCGACAATACCGATAAAGTATCCTCTGTGGTAAATGGATTATGGGTTAGAATCTCCTTGATGTCGAGTTAACCGTGGGAGGTTTTTGTGTTTTTCCTTTCCATTTTACGCAAATGCGAGTTAGTTCCATCAGAAAATACTCCACGAAGAATAGTCTGTCCTAATACTTGATCCAGAAGTTCCCTTGTCCTCTGGGTTGAGCTCAAAATTATTGTGAATATTTTTTTCTAGGAAAATGCAAATTATGAAGAACTCAGCTAAATGAGCAGCCTATAGCCGTCTATCATCTGTGAAGATGGCAGGAGAATACAAGATTTGAACTTTTTTTCTTCTAATGGACAAGGTGATTGTTGATGTAAGCTCTTGCTCCATAAGAGTCATTCATTCATTATTTAAGAGCCACTTTGTTGTCACATCAAAGATTAGTGTTTGTGTCCTTTATGCCATGTGATTTAATAGGGTTACGAGGAAGGCATGCAGTGAGTGTTGCCAGAATTCGATTTAACATTTCAAATCTTCCGCATCACCGAAGGTTCGCATATTGAATATTTGGGAAGAAGCATTAGTGATGTTCCTTTATCAGGTAAAGTGAAATTTTTTGGTGTTTTAGTAATACTTTCTCTGAATATTTTCCTTGTATTAATTAATTTAAAAATTAATAAATTCATCAAATATGTGTAAAGTGTGTAACCAAAGTATGTTTCATGATAGTCACTACTGTATAGAATAATTTTATTAATACAACAAATTTACAAAATAGTACTTCATAAATTATATTTTGTACTCTTAAATATTACATATTTTGAAGAATCACCCATAAATTAATTTTATTATAATAACATCATAACATCCTTTTGATGCTAACAATAACCGAAATTGTTCTTAAGTTGTGCTAAGTATTGGTTTTTCAAATCATAGTTGATGACATGATCAAAAATTAATAGTAACAGTAGTGTTTATCAAATCTATTAAAGTTAAGCTATTCGTAAAGCCTTCATGTGGTTTTTTTATTACAATTAACGAATGTTTCTATGAATTAAATACACTTTGAAAACTGTATCGCACCCATAATCACACCAAAAATGTTGACATGTGATTTAACACATTTTTAACGAAATTATGTCACGTTGTCTGATGTTGTTGTCTTTCTTCTTTTTGCCAAATGAGGGATGAAGTATATGATGAATCCAGAGAAAAAAGAAATACCCGTTAGAGTGTACATAACGCCATCATAAGATCCATGCTCTCCTCTGAAATAACCTGAAAATAATATATCACATTACAAAATAATCTGTTCTTAAATATAATAAAAAGTGCAACACTTAAGTTAAGTAGAATTTTAAAGCAAAGAGTGTATTCAGTTTTAGAAAAGTATGGTATTAGATTCGATGAATTTATTAAATGCCGTGATAAAATATGAAACATTTTTAAAATAACAAATATCCTTTAGTAGAAGGAAATCGATAAAAAAAATTAACAAAGTCGTCTTCTTTCGTTTCATTTTGAACGTAGCAAGATAAGTAAACAACATGAAACTTGAAAATGATTTTTTGACATGACAAATTTTCTTATGTTGTCATTTACTTTTAAAATTGGCTAGTTTCAATGATGCCAAATGACGATATGTCATTTCTATTCATGGTTTGAGATTGACTCATTTAATTTTGAATTTAATAGAAAATTAATTATTGGTCTAAATTGTGAAAGTTAAATAACAACGGGTGATAAGCCTTCGTATGAAGTAATATGTTGCAAAAATAATTAAACTGATTGAAAGGGATTACATAAACATGTAAAATTATTCATATTAAAGAGGAAAGAGGTAACACTGGCAATCAAGAATTTAAAAAGAGTTGCAATCAGTGTATCAAGAAATGATGTACTTAAACATAAAGGTTTACTCCTCCTACCTCAGTTGGGTATTTTGAGATAGATCGTACTTAAAAAACCATTTTTTTTCTAAAATTGGGCGAATTAGGCAGGTTAAAATTTTTGGATTTTTTTAAAAATTTTCACGATATGTTCTTTATGTAAGACTGTTAGACAAGTGTCCTTTTTTTAGAAAATTATTTTTATCCCTGAAGTTTTATTTTTATCCTCTGGAATTTTAAGAAAAACGCATTTATACGTGGCAATACATTTTAATAAACAAGTGAATCACAACACTGACCGTTGTTTTATGTTACATCTACACCACTTATCAAGATATAAATATTTTCAGTGGATCTTTCATCAAAATCTATAAAAACCAATAGTGAGACAGTAAACCAAATATTTCTGTGAATGCATAAACCCTGGAGCTATGCTGTGAATACATACAGTGCATCATTAAAACAATAAATATACCTTAAGTCAAAAAATAATTTAAAACAATAAAAGCTTAACTTATTATATTTATAGTTATAATTTGTTGCATAAATAATAGGGAATTTTATTATTGAAATTAGAAAACTATAGTGCAAGTAAATAATCGAAAGAAAAAAAAACATCTGGAAAAATGTTTGATTAGTAGTAAATGGCATGAAAATGCTATATTTAAAGTCTTTAAATGTTCAGATAAAGTGTAATTGCAAAAGAAATTGCTTACCAATCATGGGAGATACAGTAAAGCACAGCGGTGCAAATAACATCGATTTACAAACCATTGCCATATTTCTTTTCTCAGGCTGCATAAATTCGTGTACTAAAGCAATTTGTAAAACCAAAAGAGATCCAGTAAAAACGGTAAGCAGGAAATCAATAAACATCAGAAGTAAATAATTATTGATGAACAATAGACCAAGAGAAGATAATCCAGTACACACACAGCATATTGAAGTAATCGTGGGGGAAGGTAAGATTTGTTTGTCTATAACAAATCCAGATCCTATTCTTCCACATATATCTGCTAGAGCCAATATCATGACATAATAAATCTCCAGGTTAGCTCCAACATTTTTGTCACGCACAAAATCAAGAATGATTGCCATCATAACTGTCGTTATATAAAATGTACAAGCAGTCATAACCAATATGATAATGAATAATGGGTCAATGAAAATTTTAAAATTTTCAAGAGTAAAAGCTGATAGAGGCTTATTTTTAGAATTTTCCCTTTCTACAAGGCGTTTAGATTTGGTGTCAATTTCTTTATTGATGTCAAGTTTAACAGCCTCAGTGTCACTTGAAAGAAATGATTTTTTATGTAAGTTTTGACATATATTATCGTCAAGACTTGTTGAAGGCAGATGTGTTTTCTTAGATTCTTTCATTTCAATACAACTCACTTTCTTATTAATGTTTTGACTATGCTCATTTTTGTGTGATTTTTCCTCGGATGATTTCAGTAACATAGAAAATGGTATAAAATGTGCCAAAATAGCAGATAAAATTAAGAATGATCCATTAAGTCCGTAATACTCTATACATGCTTCCATTATTGGGGGCATCACCACACCTCCAAAGCATGCTCCTGAATATGCAAAGCCATTAGCTTTACTTTGGTTTGTTGTGAAATGGGCATTAAGTAGTAGTGGCAAATACTGAATTCCAAGACCAAAGGAAACACCTAAAAGAAATAGACAAAGTTGTTAATTAAGGTACTTTAATTATAATCAGAGAGCTGCTGTGGCTCAGGTGATAGAGCATTCGCCTCCGCATTAGGTGACTCAGGTTCGAATCACAACTATGGTTGGTTGATACGAATTCTAATCCCCGGCTCGTTCCGACAGCAGAGCTGACTTAAAATATTCTCTGTGGTAGACGGATAAAAGGTAAGAATCCCTTTGCCATCGAGATAACCATGGGAGGTTTTTGTGATTTTCCTTTCCGTGTAATGTAAATGCGGGTTAGTTCTTTTAAAAAGTCCTCCACAGGCTAGTTTGTCCCATTGCTTGATCCAGGAGTTTCCTTATCTTCTGAGCTGGTATCAAAATTACAAGGAAGATGTAAATTGAAAGTTACGAAGTTAAACATTGATACGATGTCAACATTGTGAGCATTGATACAATGAATTCGATACAATATCAATAGAAAACAGGCATTTCCTTTTGTTCTTATTTTTATAGTTAGAAATCTCTCAGGTAAGTAATAAACTGTTTTAAAAATTCCTCATGCAATAATTGTATTGACGACCAGTATTGAGTTGATAGTGTTAATTGTCAGATTAGCTTATATTACTAGAGGGATAAGATTGTGACATACTTTTTGGCTCTTGTGACATACAGTATACTACTATTAACATTTCTTACTTAGATCTATCTTGCATTTTGAACATAGATTTGCGTTTGATTGAGCGATTCACGTTTAAGCACCTGCTTTAAAAGCGTTGTCAATTACTATAATAATATATTATATTATATTTATATATATATATTTGATGACATGATCAAAAA